TTGGTTAAATTGAATTTTTTACGTACCAAGAACTGCAATTATAGTTTTATATGTAGACAAATTTAAATTTTTTACCATGCCTATACAGTAGAACCCCTCATTTACGAACCCCGATTTTACGAATTCCCGATTTCACGAACGTAATATAAAGGTGATGACATCATAAAAACTGAAGCGAAAGATTAAAAAAAAAAAAAAAACCCGCTCGAATTGTACCTGTTATTACCATGCATACAACACAACACGCCATACTATAGTACTATGTAATTCTCAAGTGAAGGAGGCCCTCTAACGGGCCTCTTCAAAGTGTTTTTTATGGCTTCACACATGTGCATGCGACAAATTTTACTCTCTTTCAAACATCGTTTTCAGCTTTAAAATTCAACATAGTGCTTGATTGTTTTATTGAATGATCAATATATATAATAAACAAGTATCTATGGAAGTTGTGTTGGAATAAAATCCACAATGTAGGTATCTAAGAAGGTAAAAATGTCCGATAAAACAAATTTGTGCAGGGCCTAGAGTGGGATCAGAATGCTTTAGAAGCTGCCAACTGTAGGCCTAGGCCCCCTCAGACTTAGCTGCGTAAGCCTGTAGGCCTAGCCTAGGCCTAGTTTATGCCAGTGTAAGTAGTACCAGTGCAAATATATAGGAATTTGGGTCAACCCCGATTTTACGAATACCCGAATTTACGAACGGCTCTGGGCCCGTGCCGTACGTAAATGAGGGGTTCTATTGTATAAGATTCTAATATATTATTGACCATCGAGGTATAATACTGTACTGGTTAAAATGTATTTTTTACATACAGAGTATATCAGTATAAATGTCAACAAACCTATTTTGTACCAAAAATCGTCGTTTAAACTCAAAAATAGGAACAATTTGGATTCTTTAAGACTGTTATGTTAGATTCTGACACATTATTGATCAGTTAGGTATGATATCGGTTAAAATATAATTTTACATGCAGAGCGTATTAGTTATAATATAAATGTCAACAAATCTATATTTTTTAAGCAAAAACAATCATATTTTTAGCCTAAAAATGACCAAAATTGGGGTTTTTTTTTAAATCCTTATGTCAGGATTCTGACCAGTGAGGTATACTTTTGATTAGAATATATTTTTACATGCAAAGCATATCAGGTATAGTTTAAATGTCAAAAAAAATCTATAGTTTTTTCCAAAAAATAATGTTTTTAGCCAAAAAAGTGAGGTTTTTTGGTTTCAGAGATTTTCTTGAAAAGCATGTTGATAAAACTATTTCATTCTTATATGCTTATTGTGAAAAAAGAATGACCATATAGATTCTAAGCCTGTTTGTACAAGTAGGCCTTTAATAGTCAAAAATACTACAATATTAAAAACCATTTTCCCAAAAAAAAATCTATTTTTACACCAAAAATTTAATTTTTTACCCCCCAAAATTTTTTTTTTTTTTTTTTTTTGGCTCCAGAGATTTTTCGAAATGGTATGCCCATACTAATATCTGTACCAAATCTGGCACTTTTGTCATTAAGGTAATCCAATTATTAGCCTATGCACAAGGTTAAAATCTAATTAATGCAATTTAAGCGACTTTTTCGTTCAAAAAATCTTTTATTTTCTTTATATTTTTTCATCTTTATTTGCTTATATCTGACTACATAATGATCATATTGATTCTAAACCTATTTGTACAGGTAGGGATTGCACTATAGCAGTCAAAAATACCAAAATATTGAAAACTGTATTTTTTACCCCAAAAATAAGATTTTATTTTTGGCTCCAGAGATTTTCTTGAAAAGCATGTTAAAAAAAGTATCTCCACCAAAAATTAAAGTTTTGTCATCCGTGTCACGATTCTTCCATATTTTGACGTTAGGCACTCTACTATTCTAAGGGGTCATCCATAATTATCAACATTTTCATACTATTCAAGGGGTCATCCATAATTATCAACATTTTCAAAAGAGTACAAAACATACTCTTTTCTGGTACCCCCTCCCTCCCCCCGAAAGAGTACACAATAAAATGTTGATTTGTGTCATTTTGAGATCAACATTTTATGTTTTTCATAAAAGAGTACTTATGCCTACACTTTCAACCCCCTACCCCCTAAAGCGTATGTTTTGTACTCTTTTGAAAATGTTGATAATTATGGATGACCCCTAAGTGATGGAGATAATGTGCATATAAAATCCAAATCTTGTAAAACTAGAGTTAAAAATTGAGGGTTTAGGGCCAAATGAATCATTTTCCCGTCTCAAAAATTTCGCCGTCTCGGAGATTCTCAGGAAGGGATTCGTCCCCTCGGCCCATCCTCAGAGTTATATTAGGCCAACAATGCTTTTCTTTCGTTGAGAGTTAAGCAATTTTATTTATTTTGCAATAAATATATTGAGGCTGTAAAATATTTGCAGCGTAAAATATTGGGCCTAGAAATCTGTCACCGCATTTCGAAAATATGAGCTGATTTTTTTGCAGAAAATTGAGGCCTTCATACTCATAGTAGGAACACTAGTATTTACGATTCTGTGCATCTAATTTTCTAGGGGTTTTTCCGTGCAATTTGAATTTTGTTTGTATCCTCCACAAAAAGAAATACATTTTTAAGTTAGTATTCATTAATTAAGATATTGCAAATGGGTACAAACATACAATATAGCCACCCCCTCCCCCTTCTCCAAATAACCTCATAAAACATACTCCTGTCAGCCTGTGGATGAGAACTTGTATATTGTGGAAATCAGCTATGCCTGAGAAATTTTTACTTGCAGTTGTCATGACAACGGCTTTTAAATACGCAATAATAAAACGATCAACACACTCCTACATACATAGAATATTATTAATAATGTTTATAAATATTTGAATTTCTCCATAATCATACATTATTGAAATTCTAACAAATTAAAAAAATAAATATATTTGGATTAAAAAAAGAAAAACATTTTTGCGTGATCAATGCCATATGCATGTAGGCCTATTAATACTGTAGGGCCATAGCAAAAATACTTACTTTTGTTTTATTTTTTTTATGATTATCAATTGCAGGCCTGTAGCCAGGGGGGGTTTTTATGGTTCGGGTGAACCCCCCTTTTCTAGCGAACCCCCCTGTTTTCTAGCGAACCCCCTCGAATTTTTCAATGAGTCCCACCCGTTTTTAAATTGTAGCCTGCATTACAAGCCTACATTCATAGAATATCTCAGCTTTAGAAGTTCGGAGATTTAAATTATAACGCAATTCCAGCAAACCATGACTTTACGATGGCACACATCAGGATGGCAAACATCGATAAAAACCCGGCTGCCGTCTCAACTTTCACTGGCCTTTGGCTGAATGTTTGTAAGAAATGTACCAACCGGTAACGAAACCGGTCGCCGTCTACCTAGAGTAAATGGTGCCACCAAACGAAGCTAAAG